CGCCCCCCAATCAATAGGTCTCCAGCTTGTTCTGTTTTTATTTCACCCTTCCAGGATATACTTTTGCAATTATGTTATCACTATAGTTTGCTTTTATCTGTTCACTTATCATATTCATTTTTTTCTTTCAAAATGCCACTTATGTCAGTAAACAGGGCATTTTGTAAGGATGGAACTTGTCTTTACCTTCATGAATATTTCCTGGAGGTAAACTGTGCCTGGTTTGAATGTAACCTCACAAGTTTGCTGTCTAAAACTGTAGCATAGATAAGCATGTGTACTTGCAATGACACTCCCAATTTTGATTGATTCCAGGGTTTAGAGATTGCTGTAAATTTAAGAAACAGGAGCAGGATTAAACTGTACAGACACTGGAGGCAGTTTTCTGTCTCAACTTCACTTTCCCAACATCCTCCCCATGTCGCTTTTGATTGCTGTAACCCAGAGTGACAAAATATCCAATTATTCCAGCCATAAGTATGCTCAACAAAGGATCAAGCATGAAGAATTTCAAAGAATCTCTCAATGCTTTGAAGAATTATCAACCCATTATCCTGAGACTGTACTCCCAAATCCTGGAGCCAGCTCTGTGTCTATCTACGTGGCAGTCAAGCCCCTTTGAATTTTTGTATGGTTCAATGAAATCTTTTTCACAATTAGCTAAAAGTTAAGCATATAGCCTATGAACTCATTATGAGTGCAATAATTCTGCCACTGTAAAGTAGCACTGGGGAGAGCTCAGCAATTTATTTGTTTGTGCTGTTAGCCCAAAAATTTGAATGCCTATTGCTAAAACTATTTAGAGAAAAGCAAGGACTTAATTAGTGCACAAACTGTTTGTTGCAGCAGTTTTTGTCTTTAAATGTGTGCTGCAGGGAATGAATAAAAAGGACATGAAAGACTAAGACTGGAGAGGAGTGAGCACTGAGAGGAATTCCCCTCAAAATTGGAAGATGCCTGTTGTACCTTGTAATCACCTCCTTTTTAAAAAAAAGTCCAAAAGTTACAGAAAAGTACAGATACTGCATGGGAAGAACTTGTATTTATGTAGTACCCAATGAAGCAGAATGTCAAAAAGGTGCTTCACAACAGTGCTACCATGGGACACTAATTAAACAGGTGACCAAGAGCTTGAGAGAAATTTTATTGAGTATATTAAAGGAGGCATGCAATAGAGGAATGTCAAAGTCAGGGGCTTGGGTAACTGCTGGTACAGTTGCACATGGTGTGGTCAATAAAGTTGGGTGTATGTAAAAGGCCAGGAAAGACGAGTGCAGAGATCTGGGGTCTAACTGTAGGGCTTGGAGAAGGTTACTATCATGGAGAGAAAGTAAGCTGTTAATGAATTTGAAAATGAGAAAAATTAACAAATTGAGGCATTAAAGATTGCCCGCATTCTCCAGAGTTTGTTTGCTGTCTGCCCTCCTGGTATAGTGGTAATGCCTAGTAACCCAGGGCCCCCTGCTAATGTTCTGGGGGCATGGGTTTGAATTTCCACCGTGGCCGATAGTGGAAATTTGAATTAAATTGTGGACCTCTTGTCATACGGTGGTCGTGTTCCTATTCCTGGACAGGAGACCTTGGTTCAAGTCCCACCTGCTCCCAAGATGTGTAATAGCATCTCTGAACAGGTTAATTAGAAAAGTAGGTTAAATTTAGAAAAAAAGGCATTTTACTGTGTAAATGTTACATTTCAAGAATATACGAGGGGCTGCACCGTTGAAAACAACAAGCTTTTATTAAAGCAAAGAACTGCAGATGCTGGAAATCTGTAACAAAACAGAGACTGCTGGGAGAAACTCAGCAGGTCTGGCAGCATCTGGGAGGAAAACCGTTAACGTTTCAGTCCAGTGACTCTTCATCGGAACCAGAAGCTTTTATTAAGGTGTTCACTCTATAAGGCTGCAAGCAAGACAACTGTCTCCTTCTAAAACGGCCAATGATTCCGTATCTCATCATGATCTGATTCTTAAATACTGTGACTAATAAGAGCAGGTCAGGGACTAGGAAGTCAGAGACCTGGAGTGCATCTGCACAGGTCCCTGGAGGTGGCTGCACAGTATCCAGTGGTAAAGGCAGCATATATGATGCTGTCCTTTATTGGGCAACATATCAGATTCATAAGCATGGATGTACTGTTGGGACCAAAAAAAGTTGCTGGTTAAGCCCAAGCTGGAGTTTTTGCGCAGTTCTGATCACCACATTAGAGGAAGAACATAAATGCTGGAGAAGTACACTGTAAAGCAGACTAGTGATCAGAAGTTCTGGAATGCTGCACTTTTGGTTTTGGAATGAGCCATCAAGAATTTTTGGACCAATATTTTCAAGCAACTCCATTTAAAATATTTTTAAAACAAGTAGGTACAATTAATTCTCATAGTATCTGGAAGCAAATGTTTCAAGCAACCTTTTCTTAATTCCTTCATCAGATATGGGTGTTGCTGGCTTGGACAGCGTCAAGGAAGTGGTGGTGAGCTGCATCCTTGAAACTCCAGTCTTTTTGGTATAGGTACACCCATTCTGGTGAGTGTTCCAGGATTTTGATCCAGTGACACTGAACGAAAGGCAATTTATTTCCAAGTCAGAATGGTGAGTGGCTCGGAGGGGAACTTGAAAGTGATGGTTTTCTTGTATTTCCTGCCTTTATCCTTTGAGATGGTAGTGTTTGTGGATTTGGAAGGTGCTGACTGAAGCATCTTTGTGAATTTCTGCAGTGCATCTTGTAAATAGTATGCATCAGTGGTGGAGGGAATGGATTTTTGTGCATGTGGTGCGAATCAAGTAGGCTGCTTTGTCCTGAATGGTGTCATGCTTTTTGAGTGTTGATAGGGCTGCACTCATCCAGACAAGTGGGGAGAATTCCATCACTTATGCGTTGTAGAGGAAGGACAGACTTGGCAACTTAACTGAGTTACTCACTGCAGGATTCATTACATCTGACCTGCTTTTGTAACCACAGTGTCTATACGCTTAGTCCAATTCAATTTGTGGCCAAAGGTGATTCCCTGGATGTGAAAAATTCAGTGACGGTAATATTATTGAATGTCAAAGTGTGACGGTTAGATACTCTGTTTTTGGAGATGGTCATTGCCTGGTACATGAGTAGTGTAAATATTACTTGACTTTTGTTAGCCCAATCCTGGATATTGTGTATGTCTTACTGCATTTGAACATAGACTGCTTCAGCATCAGAGGAATCGCAAATGGTTCTGAACATTGTGCAATCATTGGCGAACATCCCCACTTCTGACCTTATGATGGAGGGAAGGTCATTGATGAAACAGCTGAAGATGGTTGGGCCTAGCAATTACCTGAGGAACTCCTGCAGAGATGCCCTAGAGCTGAGATTAATGACCTTATCTTTCTATGTGTCAGCTGTGATTCCAACCTGCAGAAAGTTTTGCCCCTGATTGCCATTGTTTTCAGTTTTGCTTGGGTTCCTTGATGCCATGCTTGGTTTAATGCAGCCTTAATATCAAGGGCAGACTTGCCTCTCCCCTGGAATTCAACTGTTTTGACCATCTTTGAACCAAGGCTGTAATGAGGTCAGGAGCTGAGTGTCACTGAGCAGGTTATAGCTGCGCAAGTGCTGCTTGATAGCACTGTTGGTGACACCTTCCATCACTTTACTGATATTGAGAGTAAGCTGATGGGGTGTTAATTGGCATTGTTGGATTTGTCTTGCTTTTTGTGTCCAGAGCATTGTCTGGTAGATACCAGTGTTGTAGCTGTACTGGAACAGCTTGGCTAGGGATGTGACAAATTCTGAAGCGCAAGTCTTCAGCACCATTGCTGGAATGTTGTCAGGGTTCATAGCCTTTGCATTGTCCAATGCCTCCAATCATTTCTTGATATTGAATGGCATAAATCAAGTTGGGTGAAGACTGGTATCTGTGATGCTGGGGATCTCTGGAGGATAGATGATCCACTTGGCACTTTTGGCTGAAGATTGTTGCAAGTGTTTTGCTTTAACCTTGGTACTTTGGTGTTGGATTTCCCTCATCATTGAAGATGGGATATTTGTGGAACCTCCCTCTAGTGAATTATTTAATATTCCACCACTATTGACAAATGAGTGTGGCAGGATTGCAGAACTTAGTTGTGACCTGTTTGATGTGGAATCGCTTGGCTCTGTCAATTGCTTGCTGTTTATCTTCACACAGAGAGTAGTGGGCGTGTGGAATGTGCTGCCGGCAGTGGTAGTGGAGTCAGATACTTTAGAGACTTTTAAGCGACTCTTGGATAGGCACATGGAGGATAGTTAAATGTGGGGTATGCAAATTTGATCTTAGTAGGTCAGCACAACATTGTGGGCCGAAGAACAGTACAGCACTGTACAGGCCCATTGTTCTGTGTTCTTATGCAGTTTGACATGCTGCTGGTCCTGCTTTGTAGTTTCACCAGGTTGGCACCTCCTTTAGATGTGCCTGGTGTGATTCCTCACTTGCCCTCCTGCACCTTTCATTGAAACAGGATTGATCACCTGGCTGGATGGTAATAGTGGAGTAGGGGGTGTGCTCAGCAGTAAGGACAGTTCTGGTGCTGCTGGTGACCCACAGTGCCCTGTCATGGATGCCGAGTCTTGAATTGTGGGATCTGTTTAATAACTATCCAATTTAGCACAGTGATAGCACCACAAGAGCAGGCCGTTTGACCCCTCGAGCTACTCCACTATTCGATAGGATCATGGCTGATTCGACATTCCTCACATCCACTTTCCTGTTCTTTCCCCATTAACCTTGATTCCCTGACTGATCAAGAATCTATCTCAGCCTTAAAAATATACAAGGTTCCTGTCCCTCTCAGCTCTCTGTGGCAAGAGGTTCCGAAGACTCTCAATCCTCCGACAGATTCTATGATGATGAACAACTCCAGAATCATACAGCACAGAAACAGACCCTTAAGTTCAACCAGTCCAAGCCGAACATAAGCCCAAACTAAACTAGTCCCACCTGCCTGCTGCTGACACACATAGCTCCAAACCTTTCCTATAGATGTACTTATCCAAATGTCTTTTAAACATTGTAATTGTATCACCATGCACCATATCCTTAGGAAGTTCATTCCACACAAAAACCACCCTCTGTGTATAAACATTTCCCCCACATCTTTCTAAAATCTCTCTCACCTCACCTTAAAAAGGTGCCCACAGTCTTGAAATCCCCCACCCTGCAGAAAAGACAGCTACTGTAAACCCTATCTGTACCTCTCATTATTTTGTGAACTTCTTTAAGGTCATCTCTCAACCTCCTACGCTCCAGTGGAAAAAGGCCCAGCCTTTCTTTTTAACTGAAACCTTCCATACCTGGCAACATCCTGATTAACCCTTTCCACCTTAATAATATCCTTCCTATAACTGGGCGACCAGAACTGGTCACAGTATTCCAGAAGAGGCCTCACCAATGTCAAAGAACAACAAAGATCAAAGAAAATTAGAGCACAGGAACAGGCCCTTCGGCCCTCCAAGCCTGCACCGATCCAGATCCTCTATCTAAACCAGTCGCCTATTTTCCAAGGATCTGTATCCCTCTGCTCCCTGCCCATTCATGTATCTGTATAGATACATTTTAAATGACGCTATCGTGCCGGCCTCTACCACCTCTGCTGGCAACGCGTTCCAGGCACCCACCACTCTTTGCGTAAAGAACTTTCCACGCATATCTCCCTTAAACTTTTCCTCTCTCACCTTGAAATCGTGACCCCTAGTAATTGAGTCCCCCACTCTGGGGAAAAAGCTCCTTGCTATCCACCCTGTCTATACCTCTCATGGTTTTGTAGACCTCAATCAGGTCCCCCCTCAACCTCTGTCTTTCTAATGTAAATAATCCTAATCTACTCAACTTCTCTTCATAGCTAGCGCCCTCCATACCAGGCAACATCCTGGTGAACCTCCTCTGCACCCTCTCCAAAGCATCCACATCCTTTTGGTAATGTGGCGACCAGAACTGTAGTCAGTATTCCAAATGTGGTCGAACCAAGGTCCTATACAACTGTAACATGACATGCCAACTCTTGTACTCAGTACCCCGTCCGATGAATGAAAGCATGCCGTATGCCTTCTTGACCACTCTATCCACCTGCGTTGCCACCTTCAGGGTGCAATGGACCTGAACACCCAGATCTCTCTGTGCATTAATTTTCCCCAAGGCTTTTCCATTTACCGTATAGTTCGCTCTTGAGTTGGATCTTCCAAAATGCATCACCTCGCATTTGCCTGGATTGAACTCCATCTGCCATTTCTCCGCCCAACTCTCCAATCTATCTATATTCTGCTGCATTCTCCGACAGTCCCCTTCACTATCTGCTACTCCACCAATCTTAGTGTCATCTGCAAACTTGCTAATCAGACCATCTATACCTTCCTCCAGATCATTTATGTATATCACAAACAACAGTGGTCCCAACATGGATCCCTGTGGAACACCACTGGTCACAGTTCTCCATTTTGAGAAACTCCCTTCCACTACAACCCTCTGTCTCCTGTTGCCCAGCCAGTTCTCTATCTATCTAGCTAGTACACCCTGGACCCCATGCGACTTCACTTTCTCCATCAGCCTACCACGGGGAACCTTATCAAATGCCTTACTGAAGTCCATGTATATGACATCCACAGCCCTTCCCTCATCTATCAACTTTGTCACTTCCTCAAAGAATTCTATCAAGTTGGTAAGACATGGCCTTCCCTGCACAAAACCATGCTGCCTATCACTAATAAGCCCATTTTCTTCCAAATGTAAATAGACCCTATCCCACAGTATCTTCTCCAGCAGCTTCCTCACCACTGACCACTGACCTGTTAAACCTCACCATGACTTCCCAACTCCTATCCTCAAAGGACTGAGCAATGAAGGCAAGTGTGCTGAATGCCTTTTTAAACAACCTGCCTATATGTGATATAAACTTGCTGAACCCCTAGGTCCCTCTGTTCTCCAACACTGACCAAGGTCCTATCATGAATTGTATAAGTCCTACCCCTAATTATCGTACCAAAATGCAATACCACGCATTCATTCAGGTTGAACTCCTCTGCCATTTTTCAGCACATTGACCCATTTTATCATAACACTAAAGGATTTTTATTTTAGATTGTTTTGTGACCTAGCAAGGTAAATAATGGGGCCTCAAAGTTTGTTAAATATTTCTGGAACTTGTTTGTGGCATTATAATTTCTGGTGTCTCAGTCAATGCCAGATAGTCTGTCAGGTTCCCTCTCTTGTTTGTTTGAGACTTTCTAGCAGTTGATTGTGAAGCCATTTCAGAGGGATGTTAAGAATCAACTACATTGTTCTGAGACTGGAGTTACATGTTGACCATGCTGGGTAAGGACAGCAGTTTTCCTTTCCTAAACGACGTTAACGAACCAGATAGCTTTTTCACAAAAAATGGCAAGAGTTTCACGCAATATACTTACAAAGTTGTATTTAATCCACCATCTACCATGGTAAGACTCAAGCCAGGTCTCTGGGTTACTAGTCCATCAACAGTACCACTAGACAGACAATCATCTCCCTACTAAAACTGACCAGAGGAAGGGTAGCACATTGTGAAAAATGTACAATATGTTGCAGGCAGTAAGAGAGAAATTGAGCTGATTTCATACCAGGCAACTATTTCAGATATCCAAGGCTGGAGTGCATATGCAGAAAGCACATTTCTGAAATGCTTAAAATGTTAACACACATCACTTATGTACAGTGCTCTCTAAACAAATATAAAGTTTATTCATGGAACTCACTTTTCCAACTCAAATTTATTTTTGAGTCGGTGAACAAATATGCAGGCACGTGGCAGGCTTGGTCAATGCAGCTAGTTTGCCTGAAGGGTATTCTTAATATTTGTACATTTGGGGGCGGCAGCAGGGATTGAGAAGTCTCTTGCAGAAAACGAACAATTCATCCAGTGTGTTTGGTCCGTTATTTAAGCAAGGCATGCTGACCAAAACACGGGTAACTTCAGACAGCTTCCCAAAACATCCATTTTAAGGAGGAATTGCATTCCATAAGCAGCAAGCACGTTGCCTATCATTTATTTCCTCAAAAGGGACCTTTGTTCAAATAATGATTGAACAGTCCTCATTTTAAAACATCTGTTTATCCTTTGCTGTAACAATATCCAAATGTATTCTTGTCATAATCTTGTTTTTTGTTAATGGGTTTTTAAACAAAAGAACTTCTATCAGTTTACGGCTGGAATCCTGAAGAAATTATTACTGCATTATCTCAAAGCTTTGGATCATGGAGCAGTTTTATTGTCTTATTTGTGAATGGAAGCAGGATTATATGTTTGCAGGATTTCAGTGTTACAGATCTCAGAGGCATTAACTTAAGTATGGAATATTGAATACCTTGAAGTGATTTACAGGCTAGAATATAAATCCACAGCTAAGAGACTAATCAACAATTGAATAAACCACTTTGACAGTAATAGGAGAAAAACAGTGCTTTTTAGGATTAATTTTTCATAAGAAGAAAGCATTTTATACACTTTTGTCTTGAAATTACATCACAGGATACTGAAGGGAATCTGAAACTCTCATTTCTGCTATTTACACAGATGTTAACCTATTTATTTCACAAGGACTGATCCTCGGTTAAGCAATCGTTAGTTTCTCATAATATAATTTTAGGTCCTGAGTCAACAACAGTCTCTGCTTCAGAAGTTAATCTTACCTCGATGTCTGAGATCCCCTTAAATCTCAACTGTTTCCAGATGTTTAAACTGGGGCTTGAAAAGCCAGCAGACAATTCTCTTGTCTTATAAAGCTCACAATTTTGTCCCTCCTTTTATTTGTAGCATATCCAAAATACCCATTTCTTGTTGTCTAGATGTCTAATGTGAAACGGAATGTATGAATTAATGGAAGATTTTAGCTTTAAATTTGTATTTAAGATGTCTTGTGTAGTTCTAGATGGGTCAAAAAAAGGTCACGCATTCCTTGATTTATTTTGGATGAACTAAAAAAGTCTTGGATGACAAATTTTACTTTTGGTTCTTAATATGAAGAAGCACCTTGAATGCTGTTAATTCTCTGCTTCAGATATTGAAAAGTAAATATAGCAACCCACTGAATCGTTTCTTTGGTGCCCGTCTTTGGTGCAATGGCCTAGTGGTATTATCACTGAACTGTTAATCCTGTGATCCAGCTAATGTTCTGGGAACCTGGGTTCGAATCCCACCACAGCAGATGGTGAAATTTGACTTCAGTAAATATCTGGAATTAAGCGTCTAATGATGACCATGAATCCATTGCCAATTGTCGGAAAAACCCATCTGGTTCACTAATGTCCTTTAGGGAAGGAAACCGCTATCCTTACCTGGTCTGGCCTACATGTGACTCCAGACCCACAGTAATGTGGTTGACTCTGAACTGCCATCTGGGCAATTAGGGATGGGTAATAAATGCTGCCAAGCCAGCGATGCCCTCATCCCATGAATGAATAAAAGAAAATCTGCAGAGTGTTGAAACATTTTCTGTTAATGTCCTTTTCCTGCCTTCAAATAGGTCTAGCCTATGTATTTACCGTTATGATAGGCTAGTCTTTTTAACTGATATTAGGATATTTAATAATAGTTAATGGTAATATGTTCCTGATGCCCAACTCGGAGGAGGGTAATCTGTGACATGTAATTGGGAGCATGTTTTTTTTAAGTTGGCAGGTAATGGTTACAATACAAAGTGTTATTATATGAAGTGTTTTGAGCCCTGCCTAGCCAAAAAATCTGAAATCTCAGCGCAGTTTTTGATTTAAATATGAATATCCCACGCAATTAAGTCAATGTTCATTGAGATGACAGTTGACTTGGTGTTGTGTAACAAAGATAGATGTGGTTAGCTGTTCTGAGGAAGGGTCACCAGACCTGAAACGTTAACTCTGGCTTCTCTTCGCAGATGCTGCCAGACCTGCTGAGCTTTTCCAGCAATTTCTGTTTTTGTTTCTGATTTACGGCATCTGCAGTTCGTTCGGTTTTTATTTAGTGTGGAAAGTTTGCAGTCATTTAACACAGCAGGAGAGTTGAATTGGATAGAGAATAACACAACGATTGAGCAGCACAACATTTGTTTCTTTTTAATCAAAATATTGTAAAAGTGAAATTTCTTGTTCATTAATCTGTTCAATAAAAGTAAATATTATGCTAATATGTGTGTGTGCTTTGTAACTCCAAGTTGTGTTATTGTTGTTTCAGATTTTGGTCCTGAATACGATATTAACTAACCAACAGGACATTTTACAACCCTGAGTTAATACCTAATTGTGGAAGTCATGCATTCCAGGCACCGAGGAGGGAACCTGGGACTGCTTCTGTTACTTAGCCAGATAATCCAAGTGGGATTTGATAATATTCCAACTGTTACGCTGATAACAATGGCACTGAATATCTACCTTTTCTTATCACCAGTTAAGCCGTTATTGAATGTTTGCATCAGTGTGCATGAAACTTGGAACAGAAAAGATTGGAAACGTCTTTTTTATTCACCGTTTCACCATGCTGATGACTGGCACTTGTATTTCAACATGGTGTCTATGTTATACAAAGGGATAAAGTTGGAGCCGAGGCTTGGCACCAAGTGGTTTGCCTACATGTTGTCTGTGTTTTCTGTCATGACTGGAGTCGTCTACTTGGTGCTGGAAATACTCCTTGAAGAACTGATGGAAGACCATTCATATAAAATGCAATGTGCAGTTGGTTTCTCAGGTAAGAACGTTCACTACTTTTTGCTGAATTTTATCCTCATTAATGTGAGCTGTCATTTCACAAAGCATTAACCACTTACCTTTTGTGTGCAGCCTTAACCCTCTCTTCTGTCTAAGAAAATCCTTAATTTTGTTCATTGTATTAGGTATTAACAAGTTAAAATTGCTTTACCAAACTTGAAAGGTAAAATAGTGAACGTTTGAGTAAAAGCAAAACACTGCAGCTGCTGGAAATCCAAAACAAGCCCGGAAAATGCTGGAGAAACCTAGCAAATTTAATGTGGTTGAATTTGACGTTTAAGTTTGGAACACACTCTGCTTAAGGCTGACTTTAAAAGAATGAGGCATAAATTCAGCTAAGTTGTCTGTAGAGATAGTAGGAACTGCAGATGCTGGAGAATCCGAGACAACAAGGTGCAGGGCTGGATGAACACAGCAGGCCAAGCAGCATCATAGGAGCAGAGAGGCTGACGTTTCGGGCCTAGACCCTTCATCAGAAAAGGGGGAGGGGAAGGGGGTTTTGAAATAAATAGGGAGAGAGTGGGAGGCGGATAGAAGAGGGATAGAGGAGAGGATAGGTGGAGAGGAAACAAACAGGTCGAAGAGGCGGGGATGGGGCCAGGAAAGGTGAGTGTAGGTAGGGAGTTAGGAAGGGGATAGGTCAGTCCAGGGAGGACGGACAGGTCAAGGGGGCGGGATGAGGTTGGTCGGTAGGAGATGGAGGTGCGGCTTGAGGTGGGAGGAGGGGATAGGTGGGAGGAAGAACAGGTTAGGGAGGCAGGGACGAGCTGGACTGGTTTTGGGATGCGGTAGGGGGAGGGGAGATTTTGAAACTTGTGAAATCCACATTGATACCATTGGGCTGCAGGGTTCCCAAGCGGAATATGAGTTGCTGTTCCTGCAACCTTCGGGTGGCATCGTTGTGGCACTGCAGGAGGCCCAGGATGGACATGTCGTCTGAGGAATGGGAGGGGGAGTTGAAATGGTTCGCGACTGGGAGGTGCAGTTGTTT